GTAGAGATAGCCCCTCTAAAATAAAATGTCAATTCAGCTTTTCCTTTTCTGTATGCAAATCAAAGCAAATTGCTCAGTAAATTTTCAGCAATGAATGTTCTTTCGTTAAAAACAATTGAACGATAAAATTCAATTCATGCAATCAATCAATCATTCATTTACTCTTTTTGAGAGCGTCAGTGATAACTTCCATCATGCAGGGCACAGTCGAGGCACGGTGGGCCTGTGATAAACTGGCATGCTTTCTGTGGGAGGCCCTTACATCCCCTAATAGTTCCTGGGTGCTCGCCGGAGACGTCTCCGAATATCTTCCACATTGGTAGACTCGCACGCCGCCCACACTGAGCTGCCACCCCCTCCCGACAAAAAATTATGGTTGTTAAGCGTTTTACAGCGCTCGCAATTGACATTTTCAGTAGGAAGGAAAAATTGAATTTTTTCCTGGGTGTCGATCGAAGCCTACTCTTCGATACTGGACCACTAAAGGATCTTTTAATTTTATGTGTTAAACTTGCACACAGGGCCTCCAAGATTTTTCGCCTTTATCCGAGAAGGCAAGGTGTTACATCTTACCTTACTGTACCAGAAGATCAGGGGTGTGGCCGAAAGACAGCAGTAAGGAGCCAAGCAGTAGCAGTAGAAATGCTGCAGAAAGAATCAGGAGCCCAGAGGAGGGGGAAAAGGAAGTGAGGGTGTGGGGGCAAAAAGTGGACGATAGATGTTTGATAGAAAGAAGGAGCAAGCCACACCAGAGCATCCGCCAACCACCCACTTCTGCTCTGGTGGACACATGGTGTAAAACAACAAGAGTAGTCACAACAGAGACTGGACCAAGGAATGAGGCAATTTATTGCTAAAATATAGACAAGCATTTGGACCGTTACAATTAGCAATTCATGCGGACAGGCAAAGATAAGTGCATGAATGAGTAATCACGGTAGAATGCCACCTCATGATCAAACCTGCATTTGCAAAAAGGGAAATCTTTCAAAACTTTATTGGCAAAAAGAAAACCCCTAAAATTTAACGGTGTTAAGTGATAAAATCATCTTAAATAAAAACATATTTAACCAACTCATACAAACACTTTATAATCCACAATCTCTCTCTCATCAATGACATTTGGGAAGTTCCTGATGAACTGGAAAAACCCCCACCAGCCTGTTATAACCCCCCCCCCCCTAAAAAACATTTAAAAAAAAGAAAAACAAAAAACCCACCCGGGCTCTCAGGCAGAAGAAAAGATGGCCAGTGAAACAGTCGCAGCCTGGTTGGTTACTTCATCCCTCAGAGGGGAGGGGGGACTCAATAAACGACTTTTTAAAAACATTTTGTCTTTCATTAAAACCAACAAGGTCCACTCCACCTCCTGATCAAAATCAAACCAACTGCCGGTCAACTTGACAGACAAAACGGTCGTGAAAATCAACGAAAGAGAACAACTCAGCAGTATGTCACACACACACATACCTCCGACCACACGACCAACAGAGGTAGAGGGAGGCGGCAGACGCAGGCACACACTCGTGGAAACTTACTTCCACGTGGAAAAAAACAGACACACACACACAAACACACACTCGTGAAAACTATTACCACGCAAAAAAAACCCCCAGAGACACACACACACACACACTCTCTTTTAGAAACTGTCACTGTTACCATGTGGTAAAAACTGTTACCACATAGAGAAAACAGACACACACACCCACTTGTCTACAACACCCAGCCGCTTGTATGCTCAACAAACAAATGACAGCAATATATTTCTTCACACACTGCCATGGCTTGCACACTTCAGGGTTTTCCTTTCCTTGAAGATTCACTTTTTAGGAGGAAAGGGGAAAGATGGTTGCATATATATTATAAAATACGTTCCATTCACGCCTCAAGTTTTCAATCATCGAGAACGACAGGACAACTCCAAGGCCTGTCGAAACAGCAAAATTTTACGCCGCATCGTCGCTGAACAAAATGGCACAGAACGGGGACACCCATCCAGAACCCTTCCCTCCCCTGGTGTATCGGGACCAAAGTGGAGCACACGAGAAAGCAAGCAAAGTTCCAAAAGTCAGAATGAAAGCAAAAAGAAATTTGTGTAGATTGAGGGAAAAACAAGTGAACCAACCGACAGCCACCACTCAGCAACCACAACACAGTCTGCCAGTTACGTCTGTCGCGACATCATCCTTGTTCACAACACACAACTACCCGGTAGAGTACAAAAAGTGAAAGACATGACCGCGGTCATTTAGTGTGGGAGGAGAAGTAAAATAACCAAAGACGAGCAAACACCCCCCCCCCCCCCCCCCC